TTCAAACACAGCTCGGTTGGGTATTTCCCTCTTTTTTTATAGGAGAATATCATTTTTATTTGAATATGCCCTTCTAATATTCATACAAAAAAAAAAAAAAGAGTTATTTAAATCCATAAATTTCAAAAGAATGAGGCATGCAGGCAGGGAGTTGCTCACTGAGGTTACACATAGCATCGCTTTCTGCGAAGGGAACCAGATTAACCAGCCCTTCGGTGGGTGTTGTCCGTGCGGAAACACAAAATTGGGCTGTTTTCTTGGAAATCCCTTCTCACACCACACATCTGAGCAGTGATCACGTGCAGGGCTACAGAGAGGGCCACATTCTGCTTTGCTTGGCTAGTAAGTCCTCTACTAGCAAAAAAAAAAGAAGTCAGGAAACCTGGATTAACCCTCAGGAAGATGAATGAAAACACCTCTTGGTGACACAACGTTGGTTTGCACCTTGCACTGTGTTAGCACCACTAGTATTTTTCACTTGCCTCTCCCCAAACTTTTGACGATTTCAATGCATTTTCCTTCACTGTTTTCCCAGCTGGGATCATTTTTTTGCTGGCGCAGCCAATTCCTCTTGGTATCCATGGGAATTGCCTCCGTAATTAGGAGCTCACCCGGAGCACAGATCAGAGCGCCCGAGTCCGGCAGCTGGAACTGGGAGGCGGGTCTGATTAAATCTGCGCTGCCACGAGGAGAAAAGCCGGGTTTAATGAGACCTCAGAGAGCTCTCGGTCCTGCCCAGGAGCGGCGCGGGGAAGGGGCTCCTCTTTGGCTGCTCATCGCGTGTCCCCGACGTGCCGAACGGAGCAGCGAGCGACTCGGCGTGGGCAAGCTGGTGAGGTGGCAAGCTCAGAAGCTTCCAGTTGCCTTTATCACAGCTCAAATACAGCCTTGGAATTACAAGAAACCCTGGGAATGTCTAAACACAGAGGATTATCAGGAGTTGCAGGCCTTGCTTTTCTTTTGAGACACTCCTCTCTAGTTGAGGATAAACCCTCAGAAACCAGGGAGCTCGGAGCTGTCTCATATTGCTCACAGAGAAACAATTTGTCGTGAGTTTCCTACCCTGGCCCAAAACAGCACTTTGCACTGATCCAAGCCAACAAATCCTTTTTTTTTTTTTAATGGGAAGTGAATGATTTTTATCATTGCCCACCAGCCTGCCTTTAAGAAGCTGTTGTGCGGAATATCCCAGCCCTGCACTAGCCCCTCTGCATGGGCTCTTCTTGAAGCATGACTTTATGCACAGCGGATTAACTCATTCTCAACATATACGCTTGGGAAGCGAAAGGTTTGGCTCAAAACATGCCTGGTGGAAAAGGTGCCTGGTGGAAAAGCACCTTGGCAAAAGACGCATGTGGTTAGACAGAAATTACTAATCCAATGGAAGCTTTTTTACCTGTGGCTCCCACTTCCACTTGATGTCACAAACTCCCTTTCTGCCGCAGGCTCCCTGCAGCCCTGGAAATGCACAGCTGAGCAAGTCGGCAGCTGCCGGAGCCGCTCCGGGCACCACCAGTTTCCGGGTGCTATCCACCGTCCCGGCATACTGGTAAATCCTCCGTATGCATTCAAAAGGCATTTTAATATTTCCATTGCTATAGAGGCAGCTCCCTTTGCAACCTGGGAAGCGACCCTGGCAGGCTGTGCTGGCAATCCCAACCAAGGGTGGTCTCCTTAGGAGACATGAGAAGCCCACCCCTACCGCAAGTCGTTAATTTGAAGCTTCTTCTCCCAAACTCTGCAAGATGCAATGAATGGCAGATTTCTGTCTTTGAGTCAAATGCCGGGGTGCTTAAATGTGTCTAAAACACTTCAAATACAGGCAGTGCTATTACCATGCCCAGGACACCAATCTCAAGCAGCTTCCATCTCTCTTCCAGAGCTGCTCATGGAGGATCACCAACATCACCTGCCCATTCCTGGTATCACTAGCAGAAAAAAACACACTCCAAAAACTGCTTTCTTGCCTATGGACAGGGGCGATCCTGCAGTTTTCCCTTCTGCACTAAGCAGGTGACCAGATGCTGTTTATCTGCTAGAGGAGCTACCAGGGGGAAGAGGAGAAATTGCCGTTGCCTCTGATGTTGCCCGTAGATCGGGAGAGGTTGCACCTGCAGAAGGTTTGTATCACCATCTGCTGTTTGAAAACCAGACAGCAACCGAGCGAGCCGGCGCACGAGCTTGGGCTTGCACGACGGCGACGGCACCGGAGCGGCGACCTGCTCACAGCGATGGGCTTGTGTCACTGGCACCTTTCCCTTCTGCTCCTTCAAGCCCGTCCTGCGATTTCTTCTTGGTCCTAAGTCGGATGTGATTTTGTTCTTCACAACAACAACAGAAAAGACGTAAAATCTAGTGAGAACTGGAGGCTGCAGCCTGTCCCGCCAGCCCATTTCCAAATCCCCCGCTGCATTTCCCATCCCTAACCGCGCTTCGCCACACGAGCCAGGGGCTCCTTTTGTAAACGAGCGGCTTCTTAGTGCGGCCCCACTCCACAAAGGACCTTTTACGTGTCAATTTATTTCCAGACAAGCATATCTGGAAGGGAGTTTCCCCCCGGAGCCGAGAGCTCAGTCCTGGCAGGTGTTGCGGGGCAGCACAAAAGGGGCACGGGGCCGAGGGGGTGAGCTTAAGCAGTAAGACAGCTTGATGTTTTAATAACCAGGGGCCAGAAAATGGGCAGGCAGCGGAAAACAGGCTACCTCGAACGTCCCTAGCATGAATGAAGGTTCCATTCAGAGCCCCCCATGTGCTTGCCAAAGGCAACCTTGGAATATTTTCTATGTTGGCTTCGCTTTGAAAGAGGGATTAAATCGGTGGATGTTGCATGAATGCAGAGCGGCCGCCTGCGTAGCGCGGTGCGCGTGTCCAAAGGCACTGCAGCCGGGAAAGCGCTCGCCTCCAGCAGTGGTGGGATCCAGGGAAGCAGCAGGAGCAGCAACTCGCAGCCTCCAATCCACAAAAGTCTGCGGAAAAAGAGTGCGTGGAGCAGCTCGGGGCTGAGGGTGCTTGCACCAGTCGCTTTGAGTCCAGAGCAACATTTGCGCAGAGAAATCTCACCAAGAAAGAGACAGACAGACAGACAGAAATGCTCTCTGATGGGTGAACCTCTTCCACAACAGGAAAAGCTCATGGTTTATATGCCAAATAGGAAATAGGATATTTATATAATTCAACTTTTATAGAAGTTCAATTATATAAATAGAGACACACGATATTATTTCCAGGGTCCAGGCCCTGGGATTACATCATATTTCTCCAGAGCTTGATTCCAGGTGGAATTGGCTATTGTGGACTCGATTCTGGGATTTCTACTCCCTTTAGCTTTCGTGCACACTGACAGGACAAAACCTTTAAAGTCAAATTGACTACTAAGCACCTGTAATAGCACTAGCCCTTCTCCTCATAAAGGTTTCCTTATGCATGGAGATTAAATACACTTTTGTCCCCTTTTAAATCAAGAGGGAAGGTACCTTCAATATCCTTTCCATCCCAAGTTAAAACCGGGTGAGTAGAAACTGCTGGACCCATTAGAAACATTTGCAGGTTCCAAACAGAAGGATCAGCAAGTTCATTTTTATTGAGCACTGGATTTAAAAAAAAAAAAAAAAGATAAAAGCACTTAATGATTTGGAGCTAAAAATCCAAACTTATTTTCACTTATGGAAGGATCACTTGCAACAGCTTAGTTAAAAACACAGAACAGAGTTTAGCCCTTCTTGCTCGCTCTGGTCTCTGAAGGCTGTAGGTCCAAGATACAACTGAACTGAATACAAGAAACTCTTTGGACTGGTGGAAACTCCTTGGACTGGTGGGAGCCCAAGGCAGGAGGCTCAGTGCAAGAAGTCCTGGATGGGGACCACATCTGCAGCAGCTGCAGGTGGGTGCCCATCATTGGGCACTGCTCTCCATCGGCTTTTTTGACCTATCTTTGAGCTGTTGCCACTTGGCTTTGCACCAGCACCATCACACAGAGGAACAAGCAAAGGATAAAGTGTTCATCCCAATTAAAAACACGATTTCATACAAACACGCCAGCTACCATTCCAGCAGTGCAAGAACTTGGTTTTAGGATTGATCCCGACCTGCGTTGCTTGGAGGCTCACGGAGGGCATCAGCAACACCTCTCCTTGAACCTCCCAAGAAGCCGCTCCTGCAGCACAAGGTAGCAAATATTTTTAAAAGCTGCAGGGAGGCACCTGCCTACAGCCCAGCACTACCCACAGGGACCGAGTCCAAGCTCCCAAGAGCTCTTTGGAAGCGTTAGAGGGGAACCTGCACCTTGCCCACGGTTCTCCTGGCACGAGGATGACTGCACCGCTGTAGCAAACGTAAGGCAGCTTCACTGGCATCAGTCCAAAACTGGTGCCAAAGAAAGCAGGGATTTCTGATGAAGGCAAAAGCCACTCGGGAGAGCAACCCCGGCCCTCGGGAGGGCAACCCCGGCCATCGCTGACGTCCAGCCAGGCCTCCCGCATTCAAAGCCCATTCCTTTCAGCACAAAAATTGTTATCCTGGGCAAAACCCTTTAATTCGATCCAAAGAAACCATAGGCTGCAGAGAAACACTTAGCAGTTCAATTCACCCGCTTCCCAAAGGGACTTTTCTTCTTTGCTAATGCCCAAAGTACAACAACCTCTGCTGCCTTTGGTCCCTTGTCTGATCACTTACTGCCTCCCCAGCTCTTCAAACCCTCCCAGGCACCCACCAGTGAACCAGAAGAGCTCCAGCAATTCCCTGCAACTTTGACTGGATCTGGAAATTCCTTCTAGCGCAGCTCCCCTGCAAGTGTGGTTTCTATTACAAGTAGGACAGTAAGAAGTTTCCCCTCTCCCCTGTCCCATCTCACCACCTTTCACGCCTAAGCCTACAATTTGTTCTAATTATTTCCAGCTGCAAAGCACAGGATTAAACCTGAGAGGAGGAGGCAAAACATGCTGCCCTACTACAGCACTGGTGTTTTTCCCATTAAGAGAGACACCTCTGCAGCTGGGAGAGCTTTGCCCATCTCCCCAAAGGCTGCAAGAAGCTTGAGCCCCCGAGTGCAGAGCAGGGAAGGATGAGGGTCGCTTCTTCTGCAGCTAAAAGTCAGTCGTAAAATAATATCAACTGAAGGACATGTTTATTGTACAATTTGGAAAGAAACCCTGAGTTACCAGCTGTAGAACAAAGTTAAATTAAAAAAAAGGAAAAGAAAAGAAAAGAAAAAGGAAAAGGAAGGAAGGTATGAAGTGCTTCACAGATTCCTAGTAAATGAAAGCCAGAAGTGGTAAAGGGCAGCAGCCAAAGCCAGCCTAAAAAGCAGCTTTGCTGCAGAAGGGTCATTGCCATCCCCACCTGCTTGGGTGACCAACTCCCCCGGGAGCACCCATTGGGATGCAGGATGCACATGAAGATGGAAATGAGGGGAGAAGGAAGGAGTCCAATCTAGCATGGATTTGGGATAGTTTCTCATCTTAGGGACTGTTTGGAAAACACTCAGTTTGTTTTGTTCAGAGAGCAGCCCCAGGGGCTGGAGAGGGCAGAAGAGGAAGAAGTGGAGTCTGAAAAAGACTCATACACATTAAAAAAAATAAATGAAGGAGAAGGGAGTTCTTTACAGACACGAGTGCTGCCGTAGGAGTCTGTAAGTCTGAACTGGGAAGGATGTACAAAGTTTCAAGGGAGGAAAAACCCCAAAGCCTAAAACCCAACCATTGCGCAGTCTTCCAGCTGCACTGGCCTTGGAGGAGATCAGCTCTGAGATAGGTTCTAGCTACACCAAAGATCTGGCCCTACACACAAGAGGGTGAATCAGAGCTGCTTTTTTTAGTGCCACTTGACATCAGTTATACATTCTAGTTCTCATATACACAGATGGATGTTTTTAAAAATCGACAATTTACACTTCAAAAAAATTTTACAGTGATGTTCTCTCAGTAAAGATCAGTCCACACAAAGAGGAGTCAGTCTTTCACAAGCAGAAAGGCACTTGGCCTTCATGTGGATTTAGAAGAAGTCCTTAGGAGCTCCTTTCTGGGCATTTTCTGCCACATTTGCTGCCCCTGGCGCCAGCAGCTCGTGAGAAGCCGGTGTGAGTGTGGTGCCCAGCGCTGCTGCAACCTGCCCGGCCTTCACAGGGTGGTGGAAGGGAGTTTCTTCACCCGTCTCTGGGCCAGGATGGAGGATTCGATGGGCTTCAGCTGGGGACTTGGTTTGGAGCTGTTCAATGCTGAGTAGGTGGCAGCCATCGCCCCCTTGGAGAGAAGGCATAAGAGTCACTTGGATGCAGAATGGATATTTTTGATGCCTACAAGATGAGGGAGCAGAAGAGCCTGGCCCTCAGATGAAGCCAGAAACCTTTCTTTAAAAAAAATCTCCTCCCTTCCTGAGGTAAAGAACCTTCCTAGGTTTTCCCAGCTCCCCTCAAAACAGCTTGCCTTACACTGCCTCTCCCACAGCTGTCCAGCCCTGCTCCCAGCTTTGCTTGCACCGCTCCGCCCTGCGGACACCCCACTTTCTGGAGAGCGAGATATCCCGGGGGACCCAGCAACCATCCAGCCCGATTCCGCACCTTGACCAGCTGCACGTCCTGGTGATTCAGCTGGCTCTGGGGCAGGCTCTCCTTCTGCGTTATCCACGGGTGCTGCAGGACCTGCTTGGCCGTCAGGCGCTGGTGAGGATCCACGTGAAGCATCTTTGAGACCAGATCCTAAGGGGGATCATAGGGAAAGTTAGATTCTTGAAGACTTTACATTCTAAATAAGAATATAGCCCAGATACAATTTAAAGGCATAGACTGAGTTTGAAGACCCAAACTATTAATCTCCTCCTGCACTAAGCCAAAGCAGGCGAAGCCGCACGTGGATAGGATGGACATAGCGGGTGAGAGCTGCACCGCTGCTCCTCTCCTGTCTCTTCTGCCCTCCCTCCCCAACCCGCTTTAAAGCTGCCTGGCAGCAAGGGTCACGCTTTGTCACGATCTTTTAATTCAACCGAGATGAATAGTAAAATCCTACCTTGGCTAGGATCGAAATAGTGTCCCAATTGCCACCGCTGACGGAGAATTTCCCCCCACCTATTCGGCTCAGGATCTCCTCTGGGGTGTCACTGGGCCCATTTGCAAACGGGGTGCAGCTGAGGAGAGAAGAGGGGAAAAGCAGCTGAGTTAGTGCCCTCCAACTGGGAGAGGGACTGGTGCCAGTTAACCTTGACTGGGACAGAGAGGTGCCAACCACCGCAGCAGAGCTGGTCCCGGAGCAAGCTGAGCGCAGCTCCGGCGGGACGCAGAGGCCCTTACCCTGCTAGCATCGTGTAAAGGAGAACTCCCAGGCTCCAGATGTCACAGCCCTCATCGTAGCCTTGGCGTTTGAGTACCTGGACAGAACAGGTAAAGAAAAATAAATAACGAAAAAGAACACGTTCAGTTGCGGTCGTGGAACTTGTTTCAGGTCATGAAAAGCAACTTGACCCCATGTTCTGTATGCAAAGCTCCTGCTGCAGCCCTACTGAATAGCAATATCACAGACTAAAGGTCAGGATTTAAATGAGATTTTTGTTTCATGGAAGCAGGAAAACCCCCTCAGATGTATCAAAGTGACAAGCAAGAATGAAGTCATGTCCCAGGGCAGTGACACTGCGCATGTGCTCTGCTGGGTACCAGGTCTTTCTCCTTCCTCCACCTCACTGTAGGGAACATAAACCCCCTCTTTTAACAGGTCGTTTAATCAGGAGGAGAAACAGCCTACAAAAACCAGCGGAATTTTGAAGTTTCCCAACCCCTTGCAGACAGAAGGAGATCAGTACAGGACTGGGTGCACCTGTGAGACCCCACATCTCTTCAGCACTACAAGTCCTGGCATTTCTGCAATCAGGGCTCACGAGGCAGAATGTGCCAGGCAACCTCTAGCAAGCACCGGGCATCCCCATGTGTGCAGGTGAGGGCAGGGATGCCGGAGCTGCAGGAGCATCTCAAGTCAGGAAGCTCTTACCTCAGGTGCCACAAAGTTTGCAGTATAACAAGGAGTCATGAGCAGGCCATTCTCAGCCCTCAGCTGCTTGGCGAAGCCAAAGTCACAAATGCGAATGCTTTCTGGGTTGCCCGACTCGTCCACGTAGAGAATGTTGCTGGGTTTCAAGTCTCTATGGACCACCTACGGAGCAAAGAAAGCAGCACCCTTGTAATCGAAGCAGGTGCAGGTGTGAGGCTACATCTGGACACCCAACCCCTGCTCCGGCCCCACCTCCATCTTGCCAACTCCAGGGAGAAACGGCAGTGCCGACAGCCCCAGTTAGCCCGGAGGACAGAGAGCAATGTTAGGCGGTGTCCTAGGAAAGGCAGGGCAGCCGGAGCCGTACACACCCCTTGCGAGTGCAGGTATTCCACTGTTTTACAGATCGTGTGCAGGACAGAACTGGCCTCCCGCTCTGAGAAAAACTTCTGCCTGAGGATCTTATCCAGCAGTTCTCCTCCCCGCATCAGCTCCGTCACCAGGTACACGTACTTCCCATCGTCATACACCTAGGGAAGCAAACATGGACAGGGTTAATCAAAACCTGTCCCCCAAATGTCCCTTTGGTAGCTCTGCTCTGAAGCAGGCAGATGTCAACCCTGTAGAGGCAGGTTCTCCTGCTGGGATGTAGCCCCAGCCCAGAGCAATATGCTGGTGGTTGAGACAGAGTCACAGATATTGGAGCTGCTGCCACCTTACACGCAGAGGCCCTAGGCCACTCTGCACCCCTAAACCAACACGCACGGCAATTTATTCAAGTTACACTCACATCTTTCAAGGTAATAATATTGGGATGCTGCCCATATCGCAGGAGGATTTCTATTTCCTCTGAAGGGTCTCGCTTGCTCTTGTCAATGACCTGCAAGAGCAAGAACAAGCATTACCCACACCTGGATGGGAAAATGGCCAGGACCAGCAGAGAAGCTGAAGGTTTGGGCTGCTGCAGAGATACAGTACCATGTACATTCCCTGTCTCCTGTCCTCTTTAGGTAACCTCTAGGAATAACCTTCAGCAATAACCTCTACTTGCTCTGTCAGTTTTGTGTCTCCAACGAACCCCGAAATTTTGTGTCTGGGTTATTTGTTGAGGCAAGAGCCAACCACAGCAAGCACTGCAGAGAAGGGAAACACTGTCCTCCTTCCCCAAGGAAGGACGGCGCTGCTTCCTCACTCTTCCCAGCTAAGAAAGCTGCACAGAAATTGTTAATTTGGGTCCCACACAAGCAGGGAAAGAATTCAATTCCTGGAGATTATTTTGACCATTATGGGGTTGAACAGAAACTGATCAAGAGCTTGCAGGGTGAATCTCCAACCTTGACTGCGTACTCCATGTTGGTTGCTTTATGGATGCAGCGTTGACACACCGAGTAGGAGCCCACACCAATTGCCTCCTTCACCACGTAGCCATCGTTGAACTGGACGTTCTTGCCGTGCAGCTGCTGCAACAGGAGAACAGAGGAGCAGAGTGGATGGCAGCAGCCAGGGAATGGTTTGTGCAACGCAATGAGTTCGCTGCAATAGAGACTGAGCTGACAGACAGCTGCCTGCTGCATCCCACAGCTTCTCCTCCCCGCTGAGGAGTGGGCAGAGAAGGGGACAAGGCAAATACAGGTCACTAGGCTACCGCTATCTGCAGCTAAGCACAGTGCCTCTCTCCAAAGCACAGGCATTTGCACAGACCTCCCGTGAGCCTGTGCCAGCCAGGGACAGGGAAGCAAACAGCTCCGAAGCTCCCTGGTGACCAATAAAAATGAAAGAAAACAGGATGCAAGAGGTCAAAACGGAATGATTCCTCTCTAAGTCTTTCCTTAAGCTCTCCCCAAAACAGCACGTAGCTCCTGCAGACCCCCACTAGCCCCCGGGGCATTTCCACACAAAGATTCCCCACATTTTACCTGTACCACCGGATTCAGTGGGGACTGGGCAGGTTTCACCTTGCCGTCCTCCATCAATCCAGCTGCCACAAAGCTGAAGCCACGGAAGAGCTGATGGGCCCCTGCACTCGGGGGGATGCCCGGGGAATCTGCAATGGGAGTTAAAAGATGCCTTAAAGAGGGCTAGGCAGAATAAGTGTTAAAACACCCAGCATAACTTCATGCAGAAGCTCTGGCTGCTTCAATTCCAACCAACCTTTTGGTGTACGGGACGTAAACTCTGTGTCAAAGTAAAAGGTGTCATCGGGCTGGCCCACCGCAGGCTTGAAAGGTGGTTTGATTTCCCTTCTGTACAGCTTCTGCAAAACCAACACAGCTCCAAAGTGAGCCAATAGCTCAAAATGCTCAGGAGGAGGTAATAAGAGGCCAAGTATGGTGTTTTTGAGTCGTTCCATGGAGAAACAGGACAAGTTTCTACCATCTACTCTTTCTATGGATGAAACAGGATATTTTCTTTCCAGGAAAGGTTTTCCTCAGTCCTTTCTTTTTTTTTTTTTTGGTAAAGCTATCCTTGTTGTGCCCAGCCCCAGTATAAAACCTGGACTTCCCTTTTGGGAGAATAAATTCAAAACAAGGTGAGCTCATGAGCAACTTGGGCATTAAGAAGCTACTCACATGACAAAAAGGAATTTGGGGGGTTGAAAACAAGAAACTTGCACTGACTATGAGGAAGGTTTGCCTTAAATTTCTTGGTTTGATACTCACATTCCAGTCAATAGTAGAGTAGAAAGGATGGCGCTTTATCTCTTCTGCCCCATCTGGACCAGAACCTGCAAGATGCACCCATGCAGTGCACAACATCACATGAGGACCACTGCCCAAGGAACCATTGCACACATGCACCATGACCGGGTATCTTATGGGGAATGCGGCCGTAACGAACCAAGCAAATTACCTTGAACCGGTACCTCAAAGAGGCACCTGACCCACAAGGATCTACGAGGCCCAGGTAGAGCATTGGGCATGGTCAGAAAGAAAATATGTCTTACCTAATCTGTTGGCTGGATTCCTTTTGAAGAGGGCTCGCAGGAGACTCTGCGCTTCGGAGCTCAGGAACTGGGGCATGCCCAGCTTTGCTCTAGAAAGGAAGTTATGCAATCAGCTGCAGTTCTACAGAAGTCAACCCGCAAGGCAATTGTGGCACCTCCACCCCTGAAAGTACAATCATCTGTTTGGCATTTACACTGCAACCTTCGGACTAGCTGTTGAGACAGCAACGCTTGCCAAATAACGTAGTCAACCCCCAAGGTGCAGCGGTTTCTAAGAGCACTAAGCCCGTCTCACACACACGCACACTCACTTGAGGATGAGGGTCATTGTCTCCTTACGGTCCTTCCCCTGGAAGGGCAGTGAGCCGGTGAGCATTTCAAACTGGGAGGAAAAGAGAGCACGGAGGTCACACGTCTCAGCAGGTCCAAGGGCTGCACAGCTCCTGCCTCCTTCAGTTGGAAACTCTCCAAAACTAGTGAAAAGCTTGCCCGAAGGATCCAAGAAAAGCTTGCCTCCAAAAATAAGTTAGCAAACCAGACATTTTCTCAGGAGGGCAACTGGCTCCGCAAGGTTTGTGGCAGGGATGTGCTTGAGCCAGCGGCTGCTCCTCCAGGAGCCATCATGTGCAGTGACCGCCAGATGGTGGCACCAGAGCAGCACAACAGCAGCACTCCAGCGCTGGGGGCGGGTATGGGCCCCCACACGCACCCCATGCTGCACCCCAGGCGCTCCCTGGAACTGTCCCTGCACTCTGCGTCCCCCACGAAGCACATTCCTGGCTGGACCCCTGCACTGCTTGGGCAGAAAGTCCTTGCAGGGAGTTTTGAGAGCATCCCCAGGCTGGTACATCTGCTGGACAAGCAGGATCAGGCAAGGGTATTTCAGAGCTGCTACTAGAGCAGCTTCTGGATAGTCAGGTCCCCCAACACACTAGTTCCATACATACCATTAACACCCCATAGGACCACCAGTCAGCACTGTGCGAGTGGCCCTGGCGATTCACAACTTCAGGTGCCATGTATTCCACTGTGCCACAGAAGGAGTAGGCTTTCTTCTCATGATCTATAGCTTCTTTACTCAAGCCAAAATCTACGTAAAAGAAAAACTATTAGAACGTGCCCAACTGCTCTGACCTACCACACCGAATGGAGAAGTCTAAGAGGACCCTCATATTTAGGAATGAAGCTGGCCAGAGCACAGGGCCGTTGCAGAGTCTCTTACCTGTGAGCTTGATGTGCCCTTCTTCATCCAGGAGGATGCTGCAGAATAAGTGAAAAAAAAGCAAGATGTTATGATCTGTAAGAAAGGCTGGCATGCATCACAACATACCTTGGACACTGGTCAGAGATACCGCCAAAACTCCAAAGCAGAAAGCTAACTATCCCTTCCAGCCCCAAGATGTTAAACTCCATCATCAAGGTACAAACAGGAGACAGGGCAGCTCCCCTTCTCTCCACCCTCGCCCCTTCACGCTGAGCAAATGGTCTCCAGAGCCTCTGGAGGTCTGCATCACTCTGATCCTCCACGTCCCCCCAAGTAAGAACAAGCCACGCAGCTGGCACACATCTCTGCAAACGCTCCGCACGGTGTCTTCTTCCTCCAGAAGCTCTCGACTGTTTAAAGCTGGAGGCTAGGGCCTGCAAGGATTAACGCTCAGCCATGTGGTAAACACATGCTGCTGCTACCAGTGCTCCTGGCCACAACCGCTGATGTGAGGAGCAAGAGCCTTGGCGACACGCACTACTGCTCTCCATTCAGCTGGCCCAGAGGCATCATTCAGCTTTGGTCTTGTGGGAGAAAACCGTGCTGTCTCCTGACTCCAGACGTGGGAATGAGCTGGAGGAAGGACTTAGTTCTCGGTCTCGGTTGTGCCACACGTACTTCTCTGGTTTGAGGTCTCTGTATATGATTCCCAGGCTGTGCAAATGGTCAAGCCCCAAAGCCAGCTCTGCCAGGTAGAACTTGACGTCCTCCTCTGTGAACATGACCTGAAGGAAGCAGAGAGGCACCAGGGTTACATTCCTGACCACATTAGGTGCACCCAGGCAAGACCTTTCATATCCACGTTGCTCCATCCTGCTTTCTCAAAACTCAAGTTTCCCAGGCTTTACCTGCCAACCTAAAGCCTCAATTAAGCAGCAACACTAAAAAACACAAACATGGTTGCTAGGCCACAGCAAGGTGTTAAAAAAACCCTCTTCATTTGAATTAGAGACGAGAGGGAATGTACTTTGGCTACCTGACACAGCTTCTTGGTGGCCCTCCCATGCCCTACCCTCACCCTTGCCCAGGAAGCAACACAGCCAGGCGATACCACAACAGAATGTGGCACCTGCAGGTGCAGAGGACAGGGTTCCTGAGACACCCTCTCTCGTTTCCAGCTCTGAGCTAGCTGCAAAACGGATTTTTTTTTTCCAAACCCTTGGAGATTTCCCAAGATTCCATCACCTCTACATGCTTAGCATGCATGAACTGAGAACCTACCAAGTTGCCAGAGCGTACCCACCTCTTTAGAAAGCCGAGTGAAAAGGTCACCTCCTCGGAGGAAATCCAAGATGAGATAGAGCTTCCCTTCTGTCTGGAATGCTGAAACACAAGCCAGGGCAGCAATCAGCCCCCTCAGCTGAAGGACAGCTCAACTCCGTTACGTTAATCACTTAAGCCCCAAGGACTTCAGTTACGCAGATGCCCTGCATGGTTACCAGGTTAAACACAGGTAGGACTAATTATTTGGTGTAAATGAGCTAAGCCTGGCCAGGATGTAGAAATGAGAGCTCACCAGCAGTACTGTTCTTCTGTCTTTCAGACAGTGATGCCCTCCTGAAAGGGCCATTTTCCCAAGAGAGACACCAGTCACTTGATAGGGGAAAAAAAACCCCTGCTCTTGCATTAATCCTGAGGAACTCTAGTTTGACTACTTAACTCTTTCTCAATTTCTCCTTTATTAATACCTTAATCCAACAGATTTGATGGTTAAACCTCTGCTGGGCTATGCTGTTTTCCCAGTAAACAGCAACAGCGGGCACAAGACCAAAGTCCTTTTGAGGAGAAGATCTGGTAGAGCAACAAAGATGATTAAGAGACTGGAGCATCTCTCATATGAGGAAAGACTAAGTGAGCTGGACTGTTTAGCTTGGAGAAGAGAAGACTGAGAGGAGATCAGATCAATATGTACCTGAGGGGAAACTGTAGGGAGGATGGGGCCAAACTCTTCTCAGTGGTGGCCAGTAATAGGATAAGGGGTAATGGGTACAAGTTGAAACACAGGCAGTTCCATCTCCATGTGAGGGAGAGCTTGTGAGGGTGCCTGAGCCCTGGAACAGGCTGCCCAGGGAGCCTGTGGAGTCTCTTTCTCTGGAGGTCTTCAAAACCCCACCTGGATGCCACCCTGTGCCATGAGCTTTGGGTGTCCCTACTTGAGCAGGACTAGATGATCTCTGGAGGTCCCTTCCAACCTTGACCATTTTGTGATTCTATGATTGCAAAGGCTTCAGGGTAGTGTGGCCAGTGGGTCTTGCTGCCTGACAAGAGATTTCCTCTATTGCAGGTATTTCCACAAGGGACCGTGACAATCTCTCTGCATCCTCCATGCAGCTGGATGCCTAACACTTCTCTACCCAGTCATGGCAAAGGTGACCCCTCTCCATGTCCCAGCTAGTTCCAAACTCACCATAGTGAAGTTTCACCACAAAGGGATGGTTCACATCGGCCAGAATATCCCGCTCTATCTTTGTCCGCAGTCGATCACGCACTGTGGGAGAAGACAAACAGCTCAGACACTGCAAAAGGCACAAATTCCCTGACATCAGCTGGTCCTCAGCCTCAAGCCCTCTAGTTCCAGGCATTTGCTCCATCTCCAGTACTGAAATAACAGTTTCTTAGGGATGGAGAGGAGGGCTGCCCGGCTCAGATGAAGACACTTCTCCAGACAGAAAATAAGACTGTCACAGGAAGACTCTCCTACCTTTCAGTGTTGCCTTCTTGAGCACTTTCATGGCATAGAGGTGGTTGCTGTCCGGCGGAGTGATTTTTCTCACCAGAAAAACCTAAAGCAGAAGGACACTTTCTCTGAGCTCTGAACGAGGAGCTAGACGCCTTCCAAGACCTCAGAGTGACCCAAGTCACTGGCCAAGTCTGGCAAACTCCCGGCATGCAGGTTTGCAGCCAAGAGGTGCACGTGGCCTCCTCTCATTCCCTGTCTTCAGCCATTACAACACTAATGCTTTTACCCTGAACTCCTCTCCCATCTCCAACACCTCTCCCTCCCCTCCCTAGCCGAGTCTTTAACATTAAGCTAAAGACTTAATGCATGAGCACTTGGATTATTGGCAAGTTGAAATAGATACGAGTCGCAGGCTACTTCCTTCCTTGTGTATGTGACCATACACAAATGCCCATCACGTAGAGCAAGAGCATCATTTCTGAGAGCAGCAAAGGGCAAGACCGAGTCCTCCAAGTCCTCAACTCAACCGAATGGCAGCAGCAGAGCTGCAGGAGGTCCCTCTGCCCAGAGTAACACCCATGTTCACAAGCAGGATCCTACTCCTTTCTTCCCAGCCACAAATACATATATGTATATGGCTCTGCACATCCATCTCCACAGCTGTCCTTTAAGTTAGGAGCAACCATTTGCTATGTGGGCTGTTCCAGCCATGGTGGGGTGAGAATCAGGATACTGCTTATGCTGGGAATGGTCCCTTCTTGCACCTGCTCTCTCACAAAATTCTTGTCTGGCCTGACACATAGGACAAAGGGAACTCACCTTCCCGAAAGAGCCCTGTCCCAGCACCTTCAGAAGCTCAAACTGCGACGGATCGGCTTTCTCGGAGCCCTCCTTCACATGGTGGGTGATGTTGATTTCCTTCACAACGCATTCGCCCTGGGAAAGAAGGCACACGGCTCAGTATAAACTAGTCCCGAACGAGGGGCAAAACGGCTTAGCTGATGAAGGAACACGGATGGTAGCTACAAACGTGCATGAACCACATCGGAGAGAACCGTACAAATCGGTACTCGCCATAGGTATCTCCTGGCTTCAACATCTGGAACAAATAAATCACGAGCAGTCTTCCACTAAGACTCAATATCCTACACTCTCCTAAACGCCCTGCTCCTTTGTCCTTGTCCCAGAGGTGTTCTGTTTCTTTGAACTGCCTTTCTGCTTTGAAAGCACCTTCCTTTTTCAGGCACTGGTGGCAAAAACAGGAGTGTTTATGCTGCTAAAAATCCCACAACACAAAAATACGGCACTGTTGTCAAAACATGGACAGGGCTGGCAAAAATCAGACATGTTGGAGCCCATCTGCTCGGCAATCTGAGCAGCTCCACAACATAAGTCCTGGTGCATCTTCGGCACATATAGATGATGCTTTTTTAACAGACTCAAGCCTTCAAGAAGATTGAGGGGAAGCCAAGGTCTCTGGCACATGTTTTGTTTAAAACACATTTTTTGTTTAAAAATACATGTATATGGGAGAAAAAGAGGTCTAGTCAAAAGGAACTAGAATAAATTCACCCTCAAGGCTAGGCCAGAGCTGTCTGACCAGAGACAGGTCTCTGGCACACGGTTTATTTAAAACACATTTTATATTTTTTAAAAATATATATTTATATGGGAGAAAAGGAGGTCTAGACAGAAGTAACTGGAAAAAAATCATCCTCAAGGCCAGGCCAGAGCTGCCTGACCAGAGCATGAGATCAGCCACAGACACAGAGGTGACACCGAAGCATTTCCTTCCTCCCAGCAAAACTTGCCGCCGCGCACAAAGCCCAGAATTCAGCTCAGTGGAAACACCTTGTGCTGCTCTTTGCAGCTCCAGAAATAGCAGTTTTAATGCCCCTGGCCCTCCAGCTGTGCCTTTCCTTCTACTTCTCTCCGATGAGACGCAGCCACCCGGCTTTCCTCCAGACCAACCAGCTCCAGGAAGGGTCCCCGGGCAGACAGGACTCGGTCTCCCATTCCTACAGCCACGAATCTCAGTGCAGCCAGAAAGCCATTGCAGTCAGACACCTCGCAAGGGCTAGTCCAGGTTTCTCAGCACTCTAGTCCCTCTCCAGCCCATGTCAGACATCATCTGTTACTGTTCGGACCCGAAGACAGCAGTAACGTTCCAAAGAGCATTAAACCCAGCTGATGGCTGACTACAGCGCACGTGCAGCCATCAGAAAGCGCCAGGAGGACTTTTTGTTTAGCTGTTCCTCTTCTGGAGGAGCGGAGAAAAGCAGTGCTGTTTTCTCCGTCTCCTCGCACGCTCGAGCTGGAAGGCTCCTCACCAAAACAGCTTTCAAGAACAACAGGAACCAGGTTTCAGCCTCTGCCTCCAGCACGGGGAGCGCCGCGGCTGCGCTCGGGGAGGGCAGCCTTGCCCGAAGCATGCGGATGTGGTTGCCTACCTGCACAGTGGCTCTGCGCACCCTTCCTTTCCCACTGACATGCTCGGCTTGTCTCTGCACTGGGAAGCAGCTTTGCTTCCAGCTTTATTCTCTCAGGATCCTGTTGTTATTTAGGTACCAAGCTCCAGCAGGAGGGCAGCACAGATGGCCCAAGCATGGGGTCACAGCGTGGGGACTGTACTGACTCCGACCTGCCTTCTAGCTTCCAGGGGTCTCAGCAATCACCTTATAACCTCTCTAGCGTTGAGTTTTCATGTTCCAGAAGATCTTCGGGCTTCCATCAGTCCTCTTAGGTTGGATGCGCTCGGAGACTCAGCCCATGACAGAGTTGGCAGTTAGAAACAGGTTCCCTTTTGGAGTCATTAGCCTGGACAGCGCTGGACAGGAGGGCTCTGTGGCCTCCTTCCCCTCTCATTACCCATCCCACGCCACCAGTCCAAGCAGAGACCCCAGAGCAGTGAGAGATGCTCCCTGGACTCCCAATACCAGGACTTCCAAGTCTGGGGAACTCCGAACTAGCAGCAGCTCCAGCCACCCACCCGTATGGCGGCCACACACTTGACCACAACACTTGGGTGCAGACATGGGCTGCTTAGGATCAACCAAGCCATGAGACCACAGCTTCACAGGGCTCTGCGAGAGAAGCTCTTCACCCTTGTACCCCCACCTTCGAGCTCAGCTCTTCACAAGCTGCAGAGCAACATGCCTCCGTGCATCAGCCAACAGCCAGAGCCAGGGTTTAACTGCGGGCCATGCCGTCCTCTCCAAGCACGCAGAGATTTGCATAGGGCGCCTGCCAGCTAGACCGCGTCGGCAAACATTCAGCCCTGCCAACCAGACCCAGAGCGGCTCCTCCTGAGACACTGCCGATGGCTTTCCGAGAACGAGCTCTGAGATGCCACCTGGCACCGCTCCGATGCGAAGGAGGTTTCCTCCCGTGGACACAGACAGTAACTTGCGATGGTTTTGGCTCTGGCCACCAGACCCTACAGCTCAGCAGCCCTCCAGGTCTCTGGTCAGGCACACCTGCGTGTCACTGATATACAGCATGGTCAGGCTTTGCTTGCACCAGGAGAAGTTTCTTACAGTGGCAGCAGTAAGCAAAATATTCTGAGAGGAAAACAGGAAAAAAACAAACCAAAACAAAAAATAATAATAATAAAAACCCAGGATTTCCATCCACAGACACATCCAAATATCCATTGGAAGCACCAGCGCCCTTGGAGGAGCGATTCATCCCAAGCCCTGAAGCTCGTGGTGGTACTGACCGGGCTGGAGAGCTGGCCGGGCGCTGGCAGCGGGAGGCTGCAGGGCTTCGCGCGCTGCTTCCTGGGCAGCCACAGCGTGAGGAAGGCGCAGATGCGGCGCAGCTTGGGGTCCCTCTCCATCCTCCCATGCCGATCACCATCGCCCGGGAAGCTCCTGGGGGCTCCCGCAAGGCTACGTGGCCGCCGCCAGCCTGAGGTCGCGGGCGGCAGGAGACGCAGGTGGTTGGAGCCCCGCTGGCGGATGCGCAGTGGAGACGTGCGGCTCGGCTGCGCGGGGAGGCAGGTTCAGCGCTCCCACTCCCCAGCAACAGGGCTTGTGGTTGGGGCTTTTTTTTTTACGTTTTTGTGCTTTTTTTTTCTTTCTTTCGGAAGAAGAAAAAAAAAAACCACCTTGTGGCTCCTCATTCACATTTGGTTATTTGGTTTCCCTGGCTGGGGCAAGACGTTTTCTGCCAAAAGCTGCCTCAAACACCGTGACATCAATCCAGTGTCGCGCAGGCTGCGAGCTCAGGGGGCATTTGAACAACAGGAATATTCCGGGAAGTCGCTCACTCTTCAAAAAAGGACAAGGAAAGCAAACCAAACACCCCATACAGGAGTCTGGCAGGACTTAGGAAAGCTGCAGATGTCTTTGCCCTCATGCACATGTCTAGCGGTCGTGGGGTCCCCATGGGAGGATTCGCCATCTCACAGGATGGTGCAATCATCCATGGTGGGATCCACCATCCCACAGGAAAGCCCTGGGCATCACGTCCACTCTAGGATGTCCATCCAGCTCTGTGTTTCAGACTGGGTGACTTCACTTTATGCTTTATCTCAGGCCTGGCAGAAGTTCCCCATGCTGAGAAACTCCATGCAAGGCATTTTTAAAGGTGTTTCCATAGCAGACAGGTTCTGATCTCACTACTGTTTAGATTTATTGCCCTCACAGACAGGAGGTCTTTATGTTCTTCGTGTTTTTGTTTTGGTTTTTAATTTTTAAACCAATCCTATCACCCCCATTCTCCTCCAGGCTTATGGTCCCTCCTGACCTTTTCAGTGGGTCAGGAAAGATATTTTCCAGAGCGATGCCCCTGAAAGTACAGATAAGTGCACCCCCTTGAAATGAGTAAGAGGCCACTCAGTCACCTTTGACATTCACCATAGCCCCGTGTCACACTCATTTCTGAACGTCTCCAGAGCTCCGGTTTGAAAAGAGGATCTTGATTTGGACCCAGAGGCACTGACTGCTCATAACTGTCTTGTCTTCTCCACCCCAACGCTGTGATCACTGATAATCCAGAACCAAGGCAGCAAATGTCTTAATGCCAGAGCACCAGCTGGCCGCAGCATCGCAAAGGCAAGCTCAGCAAGGGACGCCTGCCGGAGGCTCAGTCCTTACTGACACCTCCTTCATCCCCAAAGAGTCCCCGTAATTCGGGATCCCTTGAGTTTGCAGCCCGAAGATGGGCACCACCATCACAAGGAAGCTCTAAGCTGCTCAGTCAATCCATGATGGGCACCTGGAGCTGTTTCTCCAAGACCTGGCAAATCTTGTCCCAGCTAGGAAAAGGCAACATCTTCTGCCTTTAAAAAGCAATTGAAAAGTCCTCTGCATGAACACACCTCCAAGACCCTGCAGCCCCAGCAAGCTGACAAGATCAGAGAGCTGCAGAAAGAGCCAGGAACCATCGCGCAGGAAGGGGTGTGGGCTGGGGAGGAAAGAGGAGGAGGATGAAGGCAAGACGAGGACATCACGTGGGTGAGTGACTAAGAGCCGCTTTCTGTATGAGCATCTCTACCTAGTGGCCATGGGCCAGGAGGAGCGCGCCGCAAAAACACGTCTTCCATTCTCGAGCGGTTCTGGCAAGGGAGGCTCGCACCGCCTCAACGGTGCCCACGCGGCCGACTGTCTGTCAGGGGACGAGATGACAACTCCTATCAGGCAGCCGCGTCCACGCAGGCTCTTACCTTGTCTGCCGAGTCCACCAGCTCCTTCTCTACCCACGTGATGTCTGGTTTTGCCTGAGAAACAACAAAGCAGCGTCAGCGCGGCACGGCTGCCATTCCCCGTTGAGGGTTTCCCAAAGAGCTCCTCCAGCAGGACCAGACAAGCAAGCTACAGAGTCACAGCTCCATCCCAACACACAGCCCTCCTCGGGATGCGATCCTGGGCAGCATTTCTGCCCAGATGAACCCACTCAGTGAGCCCATACAGGGAGAGATGCAGACACATCTACAAGGAGCTGAGAAAAGAACCATCCTTCACCTACGATGTGGCACTCTCTCCTCCCCAAAACTCAAGACTTAGGGGAAGAAGCAAGAGTTTGGAAGGTCAGACCCTGGCTCCCAAAGTCTGCTTTGTTTTCTTGCTATCACAAGTGCTTTTTTTTTCAGCTGATTTTGTGAGAATGCGCTGAAGTTAGAAAAAAATCAAATCAGATTTGAAACATTTCCTCCAAGAGGTTCAAGTCTTCAGCTACAGATGAGATGTAACTCATGTGATTGCACCCAGAAGGGACATGGAGAAGGGCTGCAGCAGCAGCTTCTGCTGGTTCTTTTAGAGCAGTTGCTCAGCAGGACAGAGCACGCGGGACCTGTGGCTTTGAGGACGTCAAAGGGGGTGGACTCAGCGCTGCAACTCATTCCCGGTGGTCTGAAAGTAGGACCGGAGCTAGGGAGAGACAAGGCGAAGGCGTAAAAAGCAAGCACGGAGGAAAGGCAGGCGCTCTGTGCAAACAGTGATGCTACAGTTCAGACTTTTAACGGATTTAAACCTCCAGAAAGACTGAATCAGCTCGCAGGGAGCCACGCGGCTGCCTCCTCCCACCACTCTCCCTTGGGGCCAGGAGCAGCTCAGGTCTCGCCAGCTCTGGGAGCAGGCAGCCGTCCCACAGAGGTCCTCCAAGCGACCCGCTTCTGGAGCTTCCCAAGGGGATCACACAGGCTCCTGCAAGACTGGGGAATCACAGTTGCTGCTCCTGGAAAACTCAAGCCCCCGCTGACTTGTCCCCAGGCCAGGTTTGAAGTCAGGAGGGGACAACTCCTCAGGGACTTCTCCGTGCTGCCCTCCGACTGCCGCACACCCTAGGGCAGCGGCTGGGCACTCGCTTCTTTCCAAGACAAAGAAGTTCAAAATACAAGTCCCCTCTCCTACTTCTTCCCCTTTTTGGAGGAAGAATCTTAGAAGCCAGAAGCTGCGAGACAGGTTTGTTTTTGCTCACATTTTGTCACTTTGCTGGTTGATACAGTCATATCTGAACGCAAGAAAAAAAAAAAAAAAAAAAAAAAAAAAAAAGCCCTGTAGGAACAGATTACGCTTTTGGCATTTAGCTTCCTATTCATCAACATCAACAACTACCCAGAAGCTGTTTTAATTTATGTTGCCTCACACATGCTTTGGTCCCCAAACACTTCCAAATTCTGGCAGCACCCAGGAAAGGCATTTCTTAGAGAACAGCCCTAGCACAAGAAACATCTCCAAAGCAGAAGTTGTTAATTAAGAGTGGAGACGGCCTCTCTAAGGTCAATTAGCCGACTCCTCCTCATGTCCTGCAGGGCACACAGAGCACAGAACCGTAGGCGGAGCACAGGATTGCTTTTTAATCAGCTAGACACTTGCCTCCTGGATCCTTGTCTTGCTGCGGAAGAGGAGCCTCAGCATCTCCAAAGCTCTAGGCTGCTATTCTCCCATAGTTTGCAAGCCGGCTTCTGAGCTTGGAGCTCTCGGCAGCACCCAGCCCCACAAGAGAACCCCGAGTAGTAGTTACGTCACCGGGATGTATTTTGGGAGTTTTCTCTGAAAGGAAACTGTGGTTTCGTATGGGGAAATCGCACCGCGCGGCCATTGCTGCTCGGCTACCAAACACCATCGCTGAAGGGTTTTGGTGGTGCCCATCCACGACGCTTTCCAAGAGCAAATCACAGTGTGCTTTTCAGGAGGATGGCTGCAATAACCCCCCATTCTACTGATGGGAAAACAGACACAGGAGTCACTTCAGATGCACGGAAGGCAGCGAGAGGCAACCGAGGTCTCATCAACTTTCTTTCCCCGCCCCAAGGAACACGCTGGCTGCCGCCCATCCTGGCACACACGCGATCCCGGGCAAAGAGCTGCTCCAAGCCAGCACTGCACGTCTCCAGGGAAGGGGTCATCGGGAAGCACTTTCTGCTGCTTTCACTGCTTGCTCCCTGTGCCCAGCAACCTGTGTCCTGCTGGAGCGGCTCTTTCAGAAGCTGCTGAGCAGCCCCACGTGAGCTTTGCCCACTGACGTCTCACGAGAGCCCTACACAACTCTACTCACTCGCCCTGGGCTCAGCTCCCACCCAACGCCATGACTGTGTCCAGTGTGCTCATATGACCAGGGATGTCCTAATCCGACCTGAGTGAGAAGGAGATGGGAACTGGAATTGGCCAAGTTAGCCAGACATGGGGATCGGAGCAGAGCAGGGAGAAGAATTATAACCAAGGAAAGGCAAGGAGCCACGTGCTCACTGCCAGTTCCTGTCTGGAGGCCATCTGCATTGCATCTATGCAAAATGCATGCCCTATATGGTTTCACAAGTCACCAGCTGCTTTACCAGTGTCACTGCGAGGTCATTTGCTACTTAGCAGCACCCCTTTAACTGCGCCCACTATATACCTTAAAAATCACAGCTGCTCCCTCCAAGATCGCCGTTCCTGGCTGATCTTTCCGGGCGCATGCAACTGCTGCAGCCGTTCGGCTGCTTGGGGCCTGCGTCCCAGGAGCTCTCTGCTCATTCCCAGAGCTGCATCCTCATCTCCTCCTGCCCTGATCCAACCTGCCCACCCTTTGCTCACCCAGAAAGAGCCCCGGGAGCTGCAGTGCCACCACAGACATTCTCTGCTGGCAGTGGAAGCCACCAGCTCTTGGCTGCAGATGCAGTTCCCAGGCAGCAACGTGGGGCTCTTGCGGACAGTACAGACCTCAGCCACTTCTCTGCTCCCAAGAGAAGGGATCGGCACCGAATAAACAGCCAGCAACTGCAATATAAGATGATATAAAACCCAGGCTGAGCCCAGGCAAGAGGCTCCACTCATCACACTTCCAAGTGCCCCTACCCATGCAGGGTGAGCCTGACCCTCAGAGCAGATTTAAGTCCCTTCTAGGCAATATTCCATATTTTCACAGAGGAAGATATTGGGACAACATATTGAGGACAACATATTGGGGAAGATATTGTGTGTGAGGGCAACAACGCTGGCACGGAGCAGCAGCCAGTAACCACTCGAGCACCAGCTCATGATAAACGGGACGCGAGGAAGAGAAGGTGCTGCTGTAGAGAGTGGGGAGGTAACACCAGCTCTGGCTGCAGCTTTTCTCCTCCTTCTTTTTCTGTTCTTTTTGTTCTTTCTCTTTTTAGGTGGTAGTTCTCAAAAAGGGGAAGAAACCCAGCAAGGAAACCTCAGCAGCCACCGCCTGCCCTTGTGCAAGGTCCTTATTTGGTCCTGCTCGGCTGCAAGCAGCGAGGCTGCCCGAACAAGCTCCCCTTGCTGGCACCGGCTCTGGGACCACTGCGGGCTGTGGGGTCCCACGGGAGCCCCCTCAACCGGCGGCACCAGCCCCTCCAGAGGGGACACAAGCAAGGGCTCAGCCAGCCCGAGGCGGGCCTCGGCGCATGGACGATGGCCTGGGCTGCTTATGGAGGGAGAAGCAGGCCGGGAGGCGGCGCAGGCCTCGCGGCCGGAGCCATTTTGAGGTGAGAGGAAGCACCGCCCGCCGCAGCAACATGGTCGCTCCGGCAGCTGCGGGTTGCCGCTCGCCACGGTGCCATCACAGGAAGCCTGCCTCCCTCCTCCTCTTCCTCCTCTAGCTGAGGGGCCGCAATGCTCCCAAAGGCAGCTGCTCCAGTGGCTCCGAATTGCCCCAGCAAAGCCACACGGCCACCATGTCAGCCCAGGAGCTGTGGAGGAGCCCCCCGCTATGCAACCCTGGGGCCCCAGGAGGGGTCTCCGATTCGGGACCCGCCACCCAAATGGGGGTGCCGGCACCATGAGCCCAGCTGCGACCAGGCAGCTCATGCTGCAGCACCGGAGCTAAAAAAACACATCCAGTCAAGCAGTGTTTTGCAAAATTGCATTCATTACATCCAACTGTTGAAGCTTGAAAACAGCTGGGAGGATTCACAAGTTTGGCTTCTTCTAATTAAGTGGACATTTCATTACTGAGTTCGTATTCAAGCGCTAAGTCTGAAGTCACCTCTCCCGCTTCCAACTACCTCACATACAACTAAAGGGGAAAAATAAACCCTTCCTGCCCCACAGGGGAATTTGTCCCATTCCCTTGCACATGTCCCAGCTGGTTTAGTCCTAGCCGACACTCCCTGTGCCAAACCCGGCCTTCCTGCCGATTTGCAACCTCCTGGCCTCTGGTTTTCCCTCTCCAGCATCACCCCGCACACCTCAGCTCCGGCAGCAACGCAGTTCAGACCCCAGATGCTCGGAGCGGTCCTCTAGGCCCGGAGGATTCCCAAAGGAAGACGATGGATGCACGGACGAGGCCTTTGGCACATCAGAGAACTCTCAAGGGCTTTTGCAGGAGGAGGGAGAAGCAAGAGAGCATCGATGCTTCAGCTTGCAGACAGTGTTTGAGTGAAGAGGGGGATTTTTAGAGCAACCCCGGGCGGATCTGCCAGGGAAGAGGCAGCTTCCCTAGTCCCAGCTCACTCTGAGCTGAGCTCGCACTGAGCAAGAGCACGCGCTGCTCGCACAGACCAAAGCCTTGGCAAGCTCGCCGGAGCGCGTGGAGTCGGAGAGCCGGGGCCTCCTGCGGGGCAGCTTTGGAGCTGGAAATCTTGCACAAAGTCATTGCTGCAAATAGAGCCGAACAGCAGCGGAGCCCTTGGCAGCTGGAGCTTCCCGAGAAGTGGGTGACACCGGAGTGGGTGCCTTTACAAGCAGGGCTGATAAATCCCTAAAAGGAGAATTGTTCTCTGTAACATGGGACACATTGAGGCTGTTCTCCTTTTAGAGGCAGTGGCTCCGTGGGCCCAGCTTGAAGCTC